GATGCGCGCGCACCTGAGACACAAAGTTGTCAGTGTGATTATAGCGTGCGCGAGCGAGAAGGGAATAAGACAGTCTACAAGTAAAAAGAAATAGAATATACGTGAAGTGAGCAGCTATGCCAAGAATTTTGAATGACCATAATGATATTTACCTTTTAAACAAATAAAGGAGTTTTAATTATTTTTACAAAGAAATTTAGCAATGTTTTTTCACAAAGACCTATTGTTACTTAGTTAAAAGGTTATGAAACATACCAAGTTATTAAATTGAATTAATAAAATAATAAATAATAATAATAATAATTATTAATTAATAATTGAATAATATACAAAATATTTAATATTGTTAAATTGTTTACGTTAAATATTAATTATTAATTAATTATATTTAAAAAAAATAAAGAGGGCCAAAGAAGTATAACTTCTTACGCGCGTACATAAATACACGCACCCTTTTTTTAATCAAGCAAAATGCTACGTTAGTCTTGGCTCGCGTTCCTACATCGGAAAAAGATTCTAAACATAAATTTTTATTGCCGTTATTATTTATCCCTCATCTTATAAAAACTGACATGAGATTGTATTATACGTATAGTTAGAGATTATCTATGGTTTTTTTCACTTTAAATTATTCTTAAAGATAAAGTGTTGATAATATGCAAAATGAAGCATTTTTTGTTTCGTTCCGTTATCTTTTTGTTAAGGAAAAAGATGGGATGTTTTTAATAGTCATGACGTAAAAAGTTCACGAACAATGTACGGTACATTTGAGTAAAGGAGTGAAGGCTATTTTCATATATTTTTAGAACAATATTTCGGCTTTATCATAGCTAAATATTACGTTCTCTTGTGTTCTCGAGCGTAATAATATTTTTGTATGTAACAACCATTGGTGAGTAAAGAGGAAAACTGACGTTCTTCATTAAAAGTATTAATATTATTATTATAAGTATTTATTTATTTTGAAACAAAAAACTGCAAGTTCTCTCAAATATAAAAGAAAAAAAAGTTTATTGGACTAGCTGTTTTTAATAATACGAATCTATCAAACTGTTAGATTTCCCGAAATACATATATCCTGCAAAAAGTAGTTATAGTAAATACAGCAAGAATAACCCGTAATTTCGACAAGCTATTCGTTAAAAACCTGTGTAAATTTGGCTTAGACGCGTGTAGAAACAGAGTACCAGGATCTTGAATGCATCCTAATGTAAACAGATACCAAACATAATAACAATTATTAATAAATTAATGAAAACTTAATAATTTAATAATATCTAAATGAAAATCGAAAGCACCAAATATTATTTAATGGTGAACGTTTATTTCTGATTTTCAATTCTATATTTTTTTTATTATTGGCTTCAGCGTGCGACTCTCATCCCTGAGGTCGTAGGTTCGATCCCCGGCTGTGCACCAATAGACTTTCTTTCTATGTACGCATTCAACATTCGCTCGAACGGTGAAGAAAAACATCGTAGGAAACCGGTGCCTAATCACTTACTTGCCTATTAGATTGACAAATGATCATGAAACAGATATAGAAATCAGAGGCCCAGACCTAAAAAGATTTTTTATTATTATTGGTTAATATATATATTTTAAAACTCTACTAGCGTCCTTTACTCTATCAAATAGCTATCTTATTAATAGATCGCTACAGGATAGCCGAGACTTGATCCAAGCAAAAAATACAACTTTTTGTTACAGCTCGTAATAATGTTACGTAAATTATGATTTTATCTGAGGACGATAGCCTTAGGCGTATGGCATATTATTAGTAATGGACTAAGTACAATCCTGTTTCGTTTCTTGACTTGAACGTGAACAATTGTTAGAAATTATATAATTTAAAAAAAATTATAATATAGAACTTTTCAAGAGTTTACGTGTCTTCCTATGTTTTCCATGAGTGGTGGTTTTACAATTTTGTAGGCTGTGAAGTTACCTCTACAATTGTCATTTCCAAGATTATTTTTACAATCCAATAATTTCGTTGAAATTGCACGTAAAATAATGTTGTTGGGTTTGACATTATCCAGTTCGCATCCTCCAACCAGTAGTAGAATGACATGTATGGGTTGATAGTGGGAAGAAAATGTTCTGCAATATCGCTCTTTTTACTCAAGATGAACTGAGGGTGAAGAGGTCTATTACTGGTTGGTGGGCAGCAAACTAGCTGATTTTACTTTAGAATATGGATGTTTTACAAATGTACACATGAGAGGGGAAAGTTATCGGCAAAATTTGTTGCAGACTCAGAAAACCATCAAACAGAAATCTTTTTGATTTCTAGTAGGTAGCAAAACAAAGTTTGCCGCCCTAGGCTCCAACCTACTCAGCCTGTTGGTAAATCCGTTTTCCACTAAGGTTTTCCATATAAAAATCTTATCTATTCGATATTACACATCGTGCAAGCTTTTCTTGATTCTATTTGTTCGTATTTACGGTCAAGTAAATGTATTTAGAATTTAAAGTAGACCTGCCGTGAAAGAGAAAGAAGAAACAACAAGGGTGGTCTATGTTGGAAGAGAACCTGAACAACTGGTTGCTGATAACTAGAGATATATGTTATCGTTTCGCTTAGGCTTTTACTATTATTATATCAACATCGCATAAAAATTGATTTCTATATATTTTGTCTGTGTAATATGAATCACAATATCGTGTCATTATCACCTTGAAATAAAGCAAAAAAGTAAATCTAAGGTGTGGTTGGCGCGTCCCAAAGGGAGTGGAGCCGCGCCCACGGTTCGTAATTAGTGCACTAATAACTGATGGTTTAAATTACGACGAAATACGTAGAACCAACGTTTTTCGTGCAAATATTTTTGCTACCACAAGAATTTTTATAGCTAAGGAATTTTTTAAAAATTATGACATTAGCCAAATGACACAACAACTACTCGAAAGAGATTGACGCTTTAACAATTCAACAAAAAGCGTAACAATTCTGAAAAGGACGGCAACGAACACGCGAGCACATTGCTTATGGCAATGTGAGTGTTTATGTATCACTTAACATCAGATGTGCCTCCTGTTATATAAAAAATAACTAGATGTGACTCCCTGTTATATAAAAAATAATAATCGGTCAAATAATATGTTATTTCAAACTCTATTCAATTCATAAGTAATATTAGGGATGTTGATATATAACTCTCTTCTAGATACTACTCTACGTAGTGTGTTATATATTTATTTCACTTTTTAAATATAAAATACTTCATTATTTTACTCAGACAGCATAAAAAACCAACGAAATCGTTGTGGACTGAAATTCTGTAGGAGTTTTATAATAAACTAGCAAACCGGTCAAGCGTTGCCGTGGCGAAGGTTTTTGTTATATTACATAGTAGTAAACTATTAAAGGGAAACGGTAGGAGAACACCAGTCATGGGGACCACCATGCTTTTTTGGTGGTTATGCCATTAAATTGTAGCTTATGTGAAACGTTGGTACTTTCAGCACAGTTCCATCTGTTAGAATTGTTACTATCAAATAATAAACAATTATTTTGCAATTAAATAATATTCCGGGTATAAATTTAGATGTAAGCTATCCTTTCTTTTAAGTTAGATCAAAATGCACAAGGTGTGCAAATTTGATTGAAATCAGTTCAGTAGTTTAGAAGTCCATAACGGACAAACAACGTGACACGCAATTTATATATATATTAAGATTAATTTGAATTCTTTATTTAAAATATTTAGGCGTTAGTAAGAACTTTCTGTTTCCTCAAGAGGTTTATTAATAGAACTCGTTTTCCAATAGATGAAGCAAATATCAAAGGTTTGTATCATCATTTTGCAATGAGACTTCGTGATATGCCATGTGTTAAATGTTACTGATTGGGATGTGATATCCCGACAAGGTCATAAAGACTTAATTGCACGCCAAATTGCGGTCTTTCAATTTTATCAATCAATTATAGAATATAGTTTACACTAGTATGTTTTTGTTAATTTAAATCGGCGGCCTCAGAGTTAGCGGAAAATAATAAACGGCTCAAATATAAGAGTCTTCTTCAACTTAGATTTTGTTCCCTTTGGAGTATAGACTCTTGGGCCGTGGGGTTCAAGTGCTAAGGCGCTAATTAGATAAGTTGGCACCTGGTATAGTGCCGGTCACCCCAGAGCTGCTGCAAGCGTTAAAGGTAAACTGCCATAGGGACCAAACTTTTTAAATTTGTTTTTATTTATATTTTTTAATTTTTAATTATTATTTTTAATATGTACTATGTTTAGGTTAAGGAAATTGTGTTGAAAATAAATACTTTTAATTTGAGTAATCATTTGTTTTAATGTATGTATGTTGTTGTGTTAATTAAGTATGTGTTATATATTTTACTGATATGAACAGCGATTAATATATGCTATGATGAGTGTTCTATATGAACACTAATTATTGTCTATTATATAATAATTATTAAAAAATTCTAAATAGAAATTGAAACGAATTAAAAAAGTTAGGTCCTTGTGGAAGTACCTTTAACGCTGGCCGCATTTCCTCACTGTATTGTGATGAAATGAGTGAGTATACTAGTAGTTCTGTGCTAATCGGAAACCACTAAGCACTATTGAGTAGGTAAAGAATGTTATAAATACTACTAGCTCCCGTCGTTTTGCCATGTATATCATTTATAATAAAATTTGGGGTTTTTTTTTTTTTTTTTTTTTTTTTTTTTTTTGGGGGTTGTTTTTCTTTTTTTTTTTTGGGTTTGGTTTTTTTTTTTTTCCCCCTTCCCCCTTTCCCCCCCCCCCTTTTTTTTTCTTGTTTTTTGGTTTTTTGTTTTGGGTTTTTTCCTTTCCCCCCCCCCCTCTTTGTTTTTTTTATTTGTTTGTGTTAGGGGGATTAATAATTAATGCCTTTGATGTGATTTCTTTTTATCTAATTTCTGCAAATCTCTTTTAACAGATCCTACATATGCCATTACTCCGTAAATTAAGACAGCGTGTCAAGCAACGTTCAATAAATGTTGTAAGAACTTACCGATATAACTAAAGATACAGCGTTGGAACTCTCTTCTGCGCTCCGAGGGAGAGTTTATTCCCGAGTTTCTTGTAGTTGTCGCTTTTAACCCTACATTTTGGTTTCTCATTCGTTTCAACTGGGCAACCTTTAAGCTCCCACACTAAGTTCGTCAAAGACTTCGGTCTACTCAACTTTCTTGACCTTTTTTCTGGTAATTTTGGGCCATTACCGGAATCGCCAGACGTCCGTCCACCAGAATGACTGGAGTCCAGTGTGCCATCCATTTCCATAGCCTGGTGTATGTTCGATAAACTTTTATAACGTATATTGAAAATCGGTGAATCGCCTTTAGATAGTGGTCGTATCGGACTAGTAACAGGACTAGGTGCCTCCTTAGTAGGAGAGTTACTCTTTTGACTGAATATTCTGTTCTTGTTACTGACATTGTTCTTTATGTAGAGTTTAGGTAAATTTGGAGCTGGTGTCAACACTTTTTCCTTAACTGGGGGGTTGATGGCAGTTTTACGTGATCTCTTTTCGGCTTTTTGGTTTAAAGGTTTCTTTGTTGGTATGGTTTCAATGGGAGGCGGTTCGGGCTTTATTTCTGTTATCAAGGGCATATGAATTGGTGTAGGGGCTGGGGATGATGGGGCAGATTCATGTCGAGATACTTCATTAGTGTAAGAAGCCTTTAGATTCTTCGGGAGAGGTGCAAAGCCTCGGACATAGTCATAAATTTGGTCTATTTCATCGTATTCATCTGGGATACTATTTTCGTCTCTATGACTGCTGTAGATATGATTATGTTTATTCATGTGCTTGTGGTGATTGGCTGAATCGGACGATGCACTTCGTCGTAAAAAGTAACCAGTTTTTATCAATGGTGGAGCATGAAGAGGTGCACTTAGGAGCCTCTTTGGATCCCCAAGTTTTCCATCTAATACATGAATCCTATCCACTACATCTACCAGTAATCTATTGCACTTTTCCACCAATCTAGAAAACTCCATGAAGTTTTTAATTTGTTCTTCGTTTTTGCACCTGAGCATTTTTAACGGCGCTGCTAGAGGTAATGCAATAAGGGAATTTCCTTCTTTCTGTAAAGGTAAAGCAAATACGTGATCTTCTTCGAAAATGGATAAGAGTCTAATCTCTGGTACAAAATGACTGGCACTTTTCAAGCCTCTAGGGGGAGTTCCATGTACTAATCTTACGGTTATTGGCAGTCGTTTAGTTAGCAGAGTCTTTGCAGTATGCACACCACTGATGTTGTCCTCTTTAGCGATAGCAGAGAATTTTCCCCGCTGATCCAAACTTAACAAAACTATATCGCCTTTCGGATCTGTGCACTTTAAATATTTGTTCTTACCTAAAAACGTCTCACCTTTAGGCATTAAAACTTCACCGAAAGGGAGATTTCTTGCACCATCAGCGGTTATATTACCATCTAAATCTACTTTAGCACATATTACCCTCATCGCTTCTCTTACTAAGCACCCATCGTCCAACTTACGTCTAGCAAGCTCCGCTACTGACTCTATACATCTCACAGCCCGTCCCTCCTCACTCAGCAGTTCAAAATAACCCTTGTAAGAATCTGGTATGGCGATTCTGGGTCCGACACTGACCATGCGACGTCCATCTTTTAGTTTTATAGCTTGGGCGATTATTTTTCTTCTTTTTCCAGCTGATATGATAAGTGCTGTACTCTGTAAGCCTGGACTAGGTAATGTAGGTACACCGAGGCCTCCATACTGTCCTTTGATGATCTTTGCGACGTTGGGCAGTCGGTTTTTGACTGCAAACTCTCGGAGGTAATGGCCCTCATCAGACCAGCGCGACGCTGCGACCACGACTTGCCCGTCAGTGGCTGCCATTGTTATGTCACATCTGAAATTGAGATAAAAAACTAGTCAATACATGTAATTATAAAATTTATAAAAAATCCTAGGCAAATCGCTTCTGACTTAAATATCCAAACCAAACAATTAAAGACAGTCGTTTAAAAAAAAATATATATATATATGTGCAGAAAATATATACATTATATAGAGTATAAAAGAGCACCTATCTCTTTGAGGTCAACTTGACCTCAAAAAGGCTTAAGATCACTGATAGACCACGCTCTTTTGTTGCTCTCAGTGAAGTGACTTCTAAAGTGCACTAGACGATCTAAATAAAGTCATGGTCACTATAAATCATTACATTGTACACAGTAATCCCCCCTATAACGCGGTAGACCCGGACTGCGTTATAGAAAATCGCGTTGTAGGAGTATTCTAGTCAAACATTTTTTTTGAACAATTCAAAAAGCAGAAATATGCATTTAATAAATTTATTTGGTTTAATTTTATAACAACACAATTGAAGATGCAAACCGTACGCAAAACTAATTACGGACTTGACAAATCATTATAAATTTCATATTACAGAAATATAACTTGAGGAATCTTCGCGTAATAGGGGGGAAATATCACGTTATAGGGCGTAATGTAGCTTTATATGGGGGACGGAAATCGCGTTATACGAACGATAATTAAATAAATAAGTGAAGAAGTAAACAGACTTTTAATAAAACGTGTTATTTCCCTAGTTATACACATAACTAATTTAAACAATAATAATAAATATAATTTTTTTTTTTTTAATTTTTAGTAATATTTTTGTTTACCATAATTGTCATGTATTTTTAGATAGCTTGTAATATATACATTCTAATAGTAATCTATATATTTACATTTACAAATTACAGCATATAAAAGTAATACTCAATAACCTTAAAAATATACAAACTAAATTATATATTTAAAAGGAGTCCCTTTAGGCAAGGTTCCGAAGATACTGGTAGCGTTCCCCCTTTGAATAACTAGACTGATTCTTTGTCCGAGGTAGCTGCCAGCTCTTCGGTCTCCTGTGATGTCGACTAACATATTTGCTATTTTCTTAAAAAGCCGCTTGGACCCCACGGACCAAGGGTATGTATATATGTCGAGACTTCCCTGTCGAGAGTCCGTGGGGTTATTTACATTATATGTGATGTGGTGACCTTTAATAAATAAACAAATATATATTATACAACCTCCTTTCGACGTCAGTTAATAAGCACAAACACAAATTACTTTGGCGTAAGAAATTTTATTAACGGGTTAGTACAAAGAGATGTGCCCCAATTGTCTTATTTTTCTGATATCACCTCAACCACAAACACCGTTATCTTACGAAACAATTTCATAACAGTTAGTTCAGAATTACAGCACATAACTATTTCTCGACCGATAAAACCTATTTGGTGACCGCAAACGTGGTTTTTATCACGGTATGGAAGTACTGTTAAATGATTCACTTCTTAAAACTATGGTTTGTGCACAGCTTTGGTAATAGGTGTGAGGTACAGTGGGAGAAAGGAAAGTTCTTACCATTAAACATATTTGTCTCGTTTTAATACACACGTTGGCGATATATGGTCACATTTGTACCAATGTCGCTACAACCTTTTAGGTCTGGGCTTCAGATTTCTGTATCATTTCTAATAGGCAAGCAGGTTGTCAACTTTCTGTGCCTAACACACGCCGTCGACTTTCCGGGTCTATGGTTTCCTCTCAACGTTTTCCTTCACCGTACGAGTCGTGTTACACGCGCACATAAAAAAGAAGTGCATTGGTCACAGCCGGGGATCGAACCTACGACCCCAGGGATGAGAGTTGACCACTAGGCTAACACTGCTCATATATAGTTATATAAGCCACAGAATATATTGGTGTAGTAACTAACTGTACAAGTGTGTTTTAGCTGACCTATACGACCTATCACTGATATATATTTGTGTTTACACAAAAAATATCGGAGCGTCGCGTCGCGGCCTTTCCTTTCTTGGGACTATGACAGGTCAGACATTTGGCACTCCCCAGCCGAGTGACCGAGTAAAAGCCGAGCCACACACGGGTTTTCCTGCTCAAGTCAAAGCTCGGTGGCCCGGCGCAACAGTAGCAGAGGCCGCTGCGATCCATACCAAATGTAAACCTGCCAACGAAGCTCAATGCAGAAAAAACTCTGTTTTGGTATTGTGAGTACTCAGCATCAGAAACAACGAGGGCACTGGCTTCTCTTTAGCCCAAAAACTAACGACGTAAGTCAACCATATAGCATATCACTTTTAAAATTTACTATACGGGATTTCATACAAAATAAATATCATCATATATTTTTAAATACAATTGTCTATTACCCAGTGTGCCACTTACCCAACGCTATAGCGCGTAACGTGGTGTTATTCGGCGTTATACAGCCATTGTTTCTGTACATTGACCTTCATAGTTATATAACAGTTTAATTATGTGCGTTACGGTTCATAACACTCAACTATGAACTTTGCTGTTACGATGTTATGTGAACGCGAAATTTTGTTCTTCTATATTTATTTCGTAACAGCAAACATAAACACAACAAAAAACAATTCAATATAGCCATAGATGGAATACACAATATATACAAAAAGGTTCAAATATTTACGTAAAGAATTAATCAATAAAAATTATTAAATACGTAACACCTAATTCGGCTATGTGATGGTATTATATTGTTACTAAATTAAAGATAAGAATAAAGATTAAAAAGACTGGCGGAGAGTTTCTTGCCAGTTCTCCTTGCTTGCTCTACGCCCTTGACTTGCGAAATCGTAAATGTAAATTTAGAATCCATTTAACATCTATTCTGTTGACGTTCATAAGTGTACTTGGTACGGAATAAGTTTAAGGAATTAAATATTATGACACTATCTGGTCAATATATTCTTGAAGCCTTGTTGTATGTCCAAAAAAATATAAACGATTTTAAAACAAATGGTGTCTTTCACCAGTATAATACGCGAAATAGAACTAATTTGAGTGTAAGACCAACCAGGCTCCAAAAGATAAACCACTCCTTATATGGAAATTGTATTCGTTTTTACAACAAACTCCCAAGCGAAATTAGAGTATTATCACTAAATAAATTTAAAGCCCTCGTTAAACGAAAATTAATCAACAAAGCTTTTTATAAATTTGAGGAATACTTAAATGATCCTAATCCTTGGGATTGAATTGCTCCAGTTCAAACAATTTGTATGACAATACTTGGCGATTAAAAAGAGTGGCGGAAAGTTTCTTGCCAGTTCTTCTTACCCGCTCTACGCCCTTGACTTGCGAACTGGTAGTAAATGTAAATTTACGATTAATTTAACTTGACGATTCAAAAGTGTACTTGGTTACCCACTTGAATAAAGATATTTTGAGTTTGAGTTTCAGTTTGACCTATATTAATAGTTATTTTGAGTTTGAAAGGTTAAATATCCCAGTTTAAGACTTAAGCACGATCCAGAAGAAGAATTCAGTTAATACAGAGTTTTACTTTCACAGGGTAAATATGGTAGGACGCTCACCTCATGTTAAGTGATATCTACGGACACTCGCAATGTTAGAAGACTCGTAAGTGCGTTGCCTGCCTTTTACAAATTGGTACGCTCGTTTCTTGTAGGGCATTTATTTAATTTTCCGTATTAAAATTTTATACAGAACTAGCTGACCCGGCAAACGTTGTTTTGCCATTTCGAGGAAACATTTTTTAGTTCAATAAAAATAACTATCTACTATAATAATAAATAGGGGTTGATCGTGGAGGGGTACAAAATTAAGGGTTTTATGTATTTTTTATTGCCACATAATAAAAAAAAATTTTTTTTGGGGTGGACACCCCTTATCACTTAGGGGTTTGGAAGATAGATAGTAGCCGATTCTCAGACTTACTGAATATGCATAAAAAATTTCATAGGAATCGGTCGAACCGTTTCGTAGGAGTATGGGACCGAACATTGTGACACATTAGTTCGGAATATAATAATTAGTTAAGTAATTTGACTCTTATATTTATATGTTAAAATATTATAATATGAGAAAAAAGGCGGCCTGGCCTATAAATTGCGGGATAAAATATGTATTGATTTTTTTAAATTTATTCTCAAGATAAGCTAAACGAATGTAGTGGAACCGAACCAGTACGTGGCGAAACTAAATTAAACACGAAATCACTTAACACCGAGACATTGTCTATTAAAACTGCATCGAATGCAAGTCATCAATTGGTTCTAGTTTATCTCATCTGCCAATCCGACCGAGTGAGTTATCACAATGTAAGAATCGATAAAAAATATAAATTTCGACTCGATCACGACTCGATTGCACGATTATTTTTATTGTACCTCGGGGTATAATGTTGTGGATAACTGTACTAGATCTCTGCTAGACAAATAAGGCGCGTGGTGAGGGTCTTTTAAATTGGCGACGTTATAGGCGGTGGCGATTTAAGAAATTTGTATAAATGAAATGTGGTGATTAGAACTTGGAGAAACTGATCGTGGTTGGTAGCACAGAAGGCAAAATATCACGTGGCCACCAGATGGACCAATCAAGTAAAAGACTCATTGTCCTCAAAACTGTACACTGTCATAAGGGAAGCGCTGGACAAAAACCGGAGGAAACAGATAGTCCGCTTCAGAAGCTTCGTAGCTGACCACAACGCTCAGATAAGAGCTGATTAAAGAGAAAGAGATAGAACAAATATTAATGTTAATAAAACACCACACACTTTGAGTTACACAAAAGGGGAGATTCAAAATAGAGACTTCGTCATCGCTAAGTCTGGCTTCCGTACGTCAAAAATGTATTGGACTTTGATATACCGGAGTATAGATATATAGAGACATACCATAGTTCGCACTTCTGAATCTCACTCTCTCACTTAGGCTTTATAGACATGTTAATATTTCTGGCTGGCTTATTTATAAATGTAAAGTTATATTTCTTTTAGATTGTTAATTGTTGTCATGTGTCAAAACTGACGTTTT